CAAGGTTAAACCAAGCTCAGTCCAAACTAAGCACAGTATAAACCAGCCCAATAATAATGTAGTAAACGAAATCTGCGCTGACAAAGATGAGAGTTTACACTTTTTATAAAGGTAACGCATAGGAACCATGTCGTTCGCTAATCTATTACAAGGATAAATCTCAACACATTCAGGTGAAACGAGCCAATTGAAACAAGCAATCTTGTTCACTAAAGACGAGCCCGGAGAGTAAAATAACAGATCTAAATTTGGAAATTTACAGAAGGTCATTGTGCAGTAACTTGTTTAAAAGCTGTCATTACTTGAACTTAATCAAACAGTAAATGCCCCAACAAGGTTAGATCAGAGGTGGCGAATCTGATCGATATGGGTTGGCGGTACAGCCGTGTTGGTATTCAATATAGCTGTGTCGATTTTTTTATCATCAATCTATACTAGAACTTGTGTTTAAAGAAATTTTTGAAAATTATAGTACGTTGTTAATATTTTATTCGATTTTTAAAGTTAAATCCTTATACGAGGATGTCAGTAACGAAAGGGTTAAAATGTTTTGAAAAAAAAAAATTGTAAAAAGACATGTCTTGTTGTTGCCCCAAGGTCTTCAATTTTTGGAAATTTTCACGAACAACAAATAATTTCTCAACACAGTTTGAGTTAGCTATAATCTTTATTTGATATTCAATCATCGTCTTATATACCATGTAATACAATGTGGCCACAAAAAAAAACACGTTTTCAAAGTGTATTTTCGTTGATTTTTTAAACTAGACGCCTCAGTTGTAAATTTACTTTTCCACAAAAACATTATTAAATTAAATAAAAAGAGAGTTTTGAATAACTCAACTAGTATTTATCAGTTAGAAACTGATTACCGCGACTAGTTATTTGTTATTAAATCTTTCAGTTTTTGTTTGGTAAGTTACTTTTTAAAATTTAAAAAGATATATTTTCAATTTACACACCACAAATTATTGAACCCTTCACTGTACAATGTTCCATATCTGGATAAATTGAAAATTTGGCGTTTTCCACGAAACTAAAACTCAAAACATTTGATTTCCATTTTTTGAAGTAGTATTAAGTATGTACATGAAAATTACATATTTTTTTATTCGACTACCTACTTAGGAACTATTGGTGGATTATAAACGATCATCCCTGATCCCTTTTGCGCAATTTGGTAGGAGCTGGGGTATGCATAGCACCAACAAAGTTGGTTGCGTGGCATACCATAGTAGCGAGGAGAGGAGATTTTCTAGTATTTTTAATGCTTAATTATTTACTATATTTATTACACCACTTACTTATTTTAGCCAAATTGATCCTCACTAACGTAACGCCTACCCACGTTAATAATAGAAATAAAACAAGACGATAGACAATGCGCATAGTTTACTTTGTTGGTTTCTTAATTACTACGAACCGTTAATATAATTAATTAATCTAAGGTCAGAACTACTATAGAAGATTTTCTCGTTTTTCGAACGCGATTATTGATATTTCTTGGCGACCGACCGCTTCGACATGTAGGTCATGACCATCATGGTGCCGTTGTTTTGAACGGGAATAAAGCACCATACAAAAAATACCGTTTTGAGTAAATAGTAGTAAGGAAGGTAATACAGCAGCCAACCGAACGAGCACTCGAACAATAGGACGGCGGCGAACATCAACCAATATGTCAGCCACTTGGTGTGCACGTTTCCGGCGTCTCCGGCTCCCATTTCCGGTTTTTCCAACACTTTGAACGTTTCGTATGCCGGATATACGAATGCCACGACGTTACTCAACAGACCACCGATCAAGCAAAACACAACCAAACCCACGACCATCGCCATTAATTTGGATCTCGTTAAGCCCGTGTGCGATTCCGCCCATTCAAACACTCCGTCGAACATAGTCAAAAAACGGTTCAGCTCCGGGAATCCACCGGAAAATTCTTCTGTTAGAAAACCAATATTAATTCTTACTTGAAAAGGTGATATTCAATCACAAAGCAAAACGATACGAGCATGGCTCAGTTGATATTTGTATTGGCTTAATTGTATTTTTTACTGTATTAAATAATATGTATTCTATACTTTAAATCAAAATGAGTGTATGTATATGTTCTTTATCGGCTGCACTAATTTTGATCAAAGTTGGTACAAATAATATTATTTTTGTCCGGCTAAGCTTTACTAAGCGATAACTCCGACTTTGGTTTAAATTAAGTTTTTGGTGTCTATTTTATTTTATATTTAATTTTCCAATCAAACTAACCGTGTACTCTAATATTAGCCGATTAAAATTACATTGAAAATATGAAAAACAAAAATTGATTTTAATCAGAAGCAAATAAGCAGTAACTCCAAATATTAGAGAATGGAGATACCTCTTTGTGACTTAGCACGGCAGATTTGAATCTTCTAAAGGAACACTATTGAGGTAAGAAACCAAAAACTATTAAATAGTAAACTACTATAAGTAGCCCATGGGTGACACATATGTTTGTTATTATTATTTGATTTCTAGCAAATTATGACTGTAAAATATTTTTAGAATATTATATTTTTGCTGTGTGGGACAGAATTATACTACACACCATATTAAAACAGTTCTATAATACCTCCTTATAGAAACCGTTTTGAAGTATGATATATTACTAAACAAGAACTGTATTTATTTACACAACGTTTATGCTAAAGCTATACTATACTTAAAATTCGGTATATAAAACTGCATTTAATTGGAATTGAAGACTCAAGTAAGTACACAACACGATAGTCTTAGGGTAAATCAAATAGCAAATGCATACCGTCAGCCTATTTAGTAATGGGCGTAACTCCAAAATACCAAATTTCACACAAAAGGAAAAAAACGTTTAGTTTATTCTATATATTATTTCAATGATAATTGCTTACTGTTTATTACACATTTCGTGAAACAAAAACAATGAAATTTAATCATTATTATACCAGTCGACGAACAGTTCTTTCTTATTTCAAATAGTGTAATATATTGAAAATTGATTTTTTGGAGATACGTCCTTTGCTAAATGAGCTGACGACATGTATTTTTTGGTAACTTTGTAAATGCAATATTTTAAATTATAAATACAAACCTCATAAATATATCCTATAACGAGTCGAACATATGAATTAATTAAATAAACATATTTTAACTTCTTTATAGAAATAACGGGGGAAAACCGAAACAATCCGAATTTATTTGTCAACTTGTGTCCTTTGTAAATATTAGATTAGATTGTTGTGAATAAATTAATTACACATAATAACAATAATATAAAACTAATTACTGTCTACGATGATTAAGAAAATTATTACCGAACATCGTGGAAGACATTTAGACAAATGAGCCGCTTCAATCCAAAATTAATATAACTTAATGACAATTGCTTGCAACACGGAGACTTGTTAAATATTTCGATTCATTTCAACATTTCCATAGAAACGATCAAATTTTCAAAGATATCAATTAAAATGTACTATAGTAAATCCAATGGATTAAATAAATTATTTAATTTAGTATATTCAGTTAACACATGTTTTCTTTATAGTTCTATTTCATTGCAATTGTTTTTCGGTTTTCAATATATCATAACCCTGAATTTTCACCTACAGGGCACCCTTGCTTGTGACAGTTGTTTATATTTTAATACAAGAACTTTTGTGTTTAGCGCTGACAACATAATTGTTAAAATATGTGTTTGTTGTGTAATAGTAAATGTGAATATTATGATTTTTATTAACTTGGGCTTAGAATACTAAAAACTTTAAAACTTAAAATTAGTGCTTTTCAAAAATATTCATTTATTTTTTAGTTAGAGATTTGTTGAAATAAAAATAATTGTATCGCTAATTTTAAGTTTAACGATTTTTAGAATCCCACCTTTGATCTCCGCCAATGTAAAAAGTGAGTTAAGTAAAAACCGCTTAGTAAGTTTAAGTATGTAAGTGCAATTTACAATTTTAGTCCTGACCTCGGATTTCGAGGCTTTTGTTAATAAATAAATTGCTTATACTTGCCTCGGAACAAATAACCATAGGCGCAATTTCAAATTTTTAATTTGGGGGGGCTGGACATTTTTTTTTATATATTTATAAGTAAATATATTTTTGTATTTCAAAATTGTATGCATAACCTAATTTTTTTGGGGAGGGGCTAAGCCCACCTTAGCCCCCCCCCCCGTATTTGCGCCTATGCAAATAACATTAGACATTTTATTTGTTCCGGAGCGAACACAAGTTATTCGTTTCCTGTGGTATTCGTTTCAGAGCCAATAACATAATAAACAAAATATATTACATCGCCAGTAGATATCTTAAACGATTTAAGATATATTTGAATTATTCTTTTTGATATTTTCATGGTTATTAGATAGCGAATGATAGATACGAGTTAGATATTGATTTTATCATTTTCAATAATGTTAACTTCATTTCAGATCAATTTTTATCATCGTATGAGTGTGATTTTTATAACGTATAACATTTAACATTTTTAGCTAAATGACAGTAGACAATTACTCAGCGGGTATAACATAGGGATAACATCTAGTAAAGCGGTCGGATTTCGATAAATTCATTATGTTTGAACGTGGAAATATTTTACACTACGCATAAACAATAATCTCCAACTTTTGATTTAATTGCCAAAACACAAAAATATCATGCTGTACGACAAAAAAAAAATACAAAAATTGTAAAATGCCGCGACTCAACGGGCAACATAATAATTATAGCGGTTAACATCAAAAGTTAATATGGCAATTAATTACTCAGGAAAAAAAATAAAACTATCTGAAATTGAATTTGGTTATTTTGTCGTAGCGAAAGGCGAATTATAGGCGATATAATATAAATCGTGGAATTTTATTTATGTACGAATTTTCGGTAGTATTTTAAATGCAGTAGTATTTCGAAACGGTTTTTTTGATGTTAACAACAAAAAAAAAAATAACAATATAAAGAAAAGAAGTTTCGCCCCGGTGGTAGTCATCAGTCGTCGTAGTTGCGTAACGTCGGTCTGCCCAACCGTCGGATCAGCGACTCGTACACGATGGCGGTGCCGTTGTTGCGGATGGGCAAGTAGCACCAGGCGAAGAACAACGTCTTGAGCAAGAAGTACAGCGGTATCATCTGGAGCAAGCCGCTGAGGGGCGATTCGAATATCAAAACCGACGCGTACAGCAGCCAGTAGCTCAGCCACTTTGTGTAGGCGCTCGGCGACTCGCGGCCGCTATTCGACGGCGATTCGATCAGCTTGAAAGTCTGGTAACCGGGATAGGCGAACCCCAGCACGTTGCTCAGGGTCGTCTGCCCGTGGCCGACCAGCATGTACAGCGAGACCAAGGCGATGGAGACGATCAGCAGCTTGAACCGCGGTATGCCGGTGCGGGACTCGGCCCATCCGAACAGCCGGTCCCACGGTTTCGACGAGTCGTACAGCGCGTTGCTGATGGCGCCTTTGACCACGTCTATTTTGGTCTTGTCCATTTTACAACACGACAGTTGTTTCGGCTGCGCGATAAACTGTATAATATATTGTAGTTTTAATGGCGAAACAACTGTGTAATATTTTATGAGTATTTAGAACCGATGTGTGAATGTTGTGTGATCGCGTTAACCCGTCTGAGCGTAACCATGTCAACAATCTAGCTATGGCAAAAAAAAAAACGATTTAAAAGTGTATTTGTAATCAAAAAAACAACAATCGAATACAATAACAATTATTAGAGCGGCGGGCACGATTTAAGATAATATTTGGTAAATTTACCCCAATAAAAATGTACGGGGTATCCGTTACATGGCATCATACTATAGTAATTATTACCTAAAACATTGAGTATAATGAAAAGCTCAAATAGGGGCAAGTTCCAGGCCTCCTCCCCAAAAAAAAAAGTCAGCTGATCAAAATAGTGATACCGATATTGTGTCCAAGTCTGCTCTTTCCTTAGTACATAACCTCACTTCACTCCTACTTTTATTGGCAACACTGTTCTTTTATTTTTATTGCTTAACACTTGGCCAGTTTTTAAATGAAATACAGCCTTTCTGAATGCGACATAAAACAGACTTGGCCATAGTGTAGATATCATTACTATACTGTTAAAGTAATATAAAGGTCGCAATAATATTATATTTCATTAGTTAAATAAAATTAACAAACGTAAGAACATGCTTTTTTAGCTATATATTTGTTCATGCATACAGTTATCTCGTATTTGTTAGGTTACTTCAGTGTAATTTATAATCGTTGTCGTCATATAATATAACGAAAAGTTTCTTTTATAAATTATATTAGTATATATGTAATTATGACAAGAACAAAATTTCCTGAAAAAAAGATTAATATAAAGTTACCACATCGTCATTTTTACGAGAAAACCAGTAAATAAAAAACAAATTGTACGCAAATCCACATCATTAATTTTAACACAGTGCCTCTACAATAGTGCCTATTAAAGCGCTTTGTATAGGCAATTGTTCAATAAAACTTAATATTAAAATAAAATTTATAAATTCGTAAACAGGGTGATTATGACAAGTCACTAGTTTTATCTTAAAAAAATTACAATTTTGTAGTTTTTCTTTTTGAATGGTACTTCAGTCTATGTAATTTTACAATAAAAGAAAATATCCAAATTTTTATATTTTTAATTTTTTTCCATAGCGCTGTCAACTTTTGAAACGTACCTATATGGTAACGTTTAATATAGTAAAATAGTTCTATAATTATAGAGGCAACAGTAAAAAGAGTAAAAATACTTAACCGCGTAGTTAAACTTAACGATGCACCAACTTGCACCAATTTTCAGACAATTTATTCAAAGTTTTTGCCGACCTAAACTATATTTTACGCTAATCATTATATTTGTTAATGTACATTCAAATTACACCCTTGGTATTCCTTATTATGAAACGATAATAATAATATAATTTAAATAATTACTGTTGTTGACTACTTTGGCATATTTTGTGTAACAGAAACTATTAATGTTAAATAGTAAAGCTAAAAAGTTGCTTAAGCATATTTCAAAAACGAATTAATCCATATTCCATACAGATTTTGATAGTTAACGTTTCTGCATTCCTCAGTGACTCTAATATATTTACAGGATGATCAATTTAATGTTAAATGAAATAGTTGAAGTTTGTATATGTTGTAGAAATTAAATTCAATGTTATTATTAATAACTTGGAATCACAAGCGATCACTTGTAGTAAATTATAAATTGTTTAATAATTATTTGTGTTTTTACTTTAACACATATATGTTTAGTCTACTAAATTGAAAAATATAACATCTTGAAGATTAACGCAATCGAGCAGTCTTATAACAGTTTATGTGATAAATTAATTTGATTGCACGTTTAAATAATTAGGTATCTTAAATGCATCATATTATACTATATTATTGTTTAGAACAATGTACCGAAAAAATGATTTATTTTTTAATCAGACAAAAGCGCCGTTCTGTTGGCGAACGTCAAAAAATAACAATTGATAAATATCATTATATTATGCTTCAATATAAACATTTTTCATAAAAAAAAAGAGCGCGCAGGTATAATAATATTAGGTTGTTTTTTTTTTTCATTTGGTTGCGTATTATAATTTCATGGAAGCAATTTTGTGTAGGTATACTGTACTTAAATATAAAATAAAATAAAAAAAGTATCTCATTCAAAATATACGAAGAGCTAAATTACGTTAACAAACATAAATTTCCTACCGAGTCGCTGTCAAGGATGGCGAATTTATGGAGTTAAAAAGGCAATGTTTTTTTAACCGAATTACACAGACTCCGGCAGTGCCGCCAAATGAACGGAGGGTAGGTGGTTAAGGGTGCCGGTAGATTATTCCCCCACCCACCACCCCCGAGTTACATGGTACAATCCACCTATCTATCTGCCTTCCCCTATATATATATATATACCTGTTCGTCTGTACCCCTACCCCCGGCCTCTACCCTTGTGTACAAATTCTTTTTACCATGCATCCCCGTCCAGTCTGATGGTTTTTCATGAGTGACTAATTTATTCGCGCGGTTAAAAAGAAGTTCCATTGTTTGTTCATTCTTCTAAAACCGCCCCTCCTTCTCTCCTACCCGCGCGACGTGTCAGCCACCGCCTCCGCCGACAATATTATCCGCTAACCTCCGGCACAATTTAAAAATAAAGACAACTCCCTCAGGCTACATTAATTGTTACAGTAGAATGTATACATTATTAGATGTATATATTTTTTTCTGTATTTTACACTACCCACACCGACTTTGTCGAGACTGTAAATTACGCGTTTGATCCTAATTTGTTCCCTAGCACGTTTTTCTCGTACCTATAGACGTACTAACTCCTCGTCCGGAGATTGCAAATCGATTTTTTTTAGACTCTACTAGAAACGAGGCGTCCAGTTTCAAAACCAGCTAAAAGCAATTTTTGAACATTTTCACAAACAAAATATAATTTCTTTGGATGTGCGAATTGAAAACCAACCAAGATTTGCCCAACACACTTTGAGTTAGTTACACCTAATCTTTATTTGATTTCAATTCATAATTATTTTACATAGGTACCAGCGTGGCCACTTACACGCCAACGCGTTTTCAAAATGTCTTTTAACTAGCTTTTAAACTAGACGCCTCGGGTCTCATACATGTAGCCTAGGTCTATTGCGCTGGCCTTGGGCTTAGAAGTTAAGTGCAGTTTGGCAGTGGCGGCTCGTGGGTATGTGCGACGGTGCGGCTGCACCCCTTACAGAATTAACGATCTTCGTTATTATATGTTATGGTATAAAATATATTCATATAATATATTTATAAAATGTGATAGTGCGGGGTACCTGCGACGCACGGTCGATGTAACTACTAATAACATAGTGAGTATCTAAAAAAATAATTACATATTATTATCAACATCGGAGGCCGTATAAGCCATGTTATGACTATTGCGATAATAATTTTCGTCCTCACAATTCGGGCGAAAGCCTATTAATACTTTTGGCGATCGTTATATGTGGTGTGTGCTTTATTATTGAATAGCGCATATAAAAACTGGTTTTCGTATATTTATAAATATAATATCAGATTCTCGTAGCGGCGGCCTTATAAAATGTAATGTGCGTTGATAAATAAACATAAAAATTCTTTTAAACATCTACAGAATGAGGCAAGTTTCAAAGTGTGGGGAACTATTGACATAAGAAGTCAAATTGATAGTGGTTATAAATTAGGGATTCAACGTCATGATGAGCAAGTTTCTAAAATTCGAGATATTTTAGAATACATTTTTAAATTGTGTAACATTTTGTGGAAATCACGAATTACCTTTACGTGGACACGATGAAAAAATGTCATAAAAAAATCAAGGCATTTTTCGTGGTTTGATAACCTATGTTCAGATTTAGACCTAAGTTTACAGAACATTTTCAGAAGTCTATTGTTTTAAAAGGTACTTCATATTTATACGTACCTATTTTCCTCAAATAAATAGATTATATATCATTTTGGATTATGGTTTTCTAATTTTTTATCGCACTCCTGTGCAAATCACCACGAGCCGCCACTGCAGTTTGGACAACAATTTTAAAATCATTGGGCATTGGCTTAACTTAACAGCTATACTTATGTTAAGCCAAACTGGTGAAAATACTAGTTTAATTAAATTTTTTTAAGATCATTTGAAACACATAAGTATTTAATATTTATATTGACCGAAATGTTAAAGTATACTTGAACAAATAATTAAATATACAAAATCTTTTAGATACATAAAAATCAGCACAGTGAAGAAGTCGACGGTCGTAGATCTGTAGAAATTTATTAGGTATGACCTAAGGTTAGAAAAAAATTACATTAAAAAATCGTTCGATGCACGTTTTTGAATAGTAAGTAAAAATGTTAAAAATAAATTATGATATTAAATTTAATTCAATAACATATTAGGTGTGGTATTATAATATAATACACAAACACATTCATTATAATTATTACCTAATCGTTGTTATTAATTATTTTAACTTTGATGTGGGGCTGACAAAGTAGTTATGGAATTTATTATTATTATTAATGGATTATTACTACTGTAATGTACTTTAGAGTTCAATACAAGTACTATCTTGTACAGTGTTAGAAATGTAGTTAATTCACTGGATTAGACTTAGTAAAACAATAAGAACTGACAAGATAGGTTTGATTCGATGTAATTTAATTAATAACTTTCACACAGACAGTAACTTGCTCGGTGAAACAAGACAAAATAATTGAATGAATACTAGCTGTTCCTTTGGGGTTATATACTAAAAAGAGTACAAGCTAAGCATATCTTAATACCTACTTGTGGAAAACAATCATACAAACAGAATTGAGAATACTTAAATGCTAATTAAGTATTATACATTAATTAGAAGTTACCCAAAACAACAGTAAGCAATAAATAATTTATTATAAATTGTATTCCACGTACCATGGTCATTACAATATCTCAAAGAGATCTGACTACTACACTACCTACTTACAAACACGATCACTTTTTAACCGCTAAATTTTAATAATTATATAAAACATTTCACCTCTCCATTCCCAATACTCCTAGACCCAGCTCTGCTGTCTTTTTATACTTTTATGTGTTAAAAAATATTAAACAATAATATTACTATAGAGACTATAATATAGGTAGACTGTCTTTAATCATAATTCATAACATTATCTATATTTAATTGAAAACTAGTTGTTTTCAACAATATTCTCACGTGCCCGGATAGCTCAGTCGGTAGAGCATTAGGCTTTTAACCTAAGGGTCCAGGGTTCAAGTCCCTGTCCGGGCGGTAATTTTTTGCATTTTTTCCTGCATTTTTAAAAATATTTTTTCCGTATTTTCTTTTGCTAAATACAATTTAATAGCAATCAATTTTGGATTTTAAAAGTTTAAGAATTTAAAATATTGCATTAAGACTATTAAATGAGTACTATATAACTATACAAAATTAAAAAATATATCGACCAACATTTTTTTTTTGTATATGTATACATTTTTTTCATTGTTTAGCCAATAAATTGATCCCTGACAATTCCCCATCCCAAAAATAATGAGTGACATTGAAAACTGATGCCAAATTCGGAATCAGCGACTTCGAAAACATATGTCACGATGTCTTAAACCGTAACATATAATTAAAATTAAGAAAAATACGTGTTTAAAAATATTTTAGCTGAGAAGGTATTGATTCTTAAATGATGTGTATTTTTTTCAAGTACAGTCTAAATTAGTGAAGTACAAACCTAATTACTAATAACGTTAGCTGTTAAGGTGATGCGGAAACGCAAGATAATTATATATTGGTTGTTTTAAATGCACTATTCATTTTTTATAAAAAAAAAAACTAGTTGTGTAGAGTTTGTCAATATTGAGAAAACCAATCGCGAGAGAGATAGGTACCTAATTACAACGTAGGAAGTACCTATTCAGACTCGTGCAGTTAAGCCCAAGAAGAAATAAACTTTTTAATTTCATCAGTTTGTCTAAAGTGTTATAAAATGCTTTTTAGCCATATTACCTTTTTTTAGTATTATCAACCTGACATCAGACCAACAATAATGTCGGATACATACCGCCAAAAACTATGCATAACTAAAGATATACATAATTATTATACAAATATATTATTTATATAGGTTAGTTTGGGTTTAATATTATCAGTTTACTTAACAATGTAACATATTATGTTATTAGGTATGTTGTTAAAACATTTAACATATTTTACTAAGACCCAAGTGATATAGGTAAAGTTTTAAATTGTTGATCCATACTTTTGGATCAACGATAGTACATGTGAGGCTATCTAGCGGTACAAAATAACCAATTAGCCCAAATCAACACAATGCTAGATGGCGTTAGGGAATCCTGCAGTCCTTTGGTTTTGATTTACATCGCTGTTAAATTATTTTAACGTTTTTGGTTTTAATTTTAATTTGTATAAAATCACTTTAAAAAAAAAAACACTTCAATGCGAATCTATATGCGGTAGAAAAATTAAATACCGATAAAAGTATTGTAAAAGCTAAAGCTATAATGTGCTCAAAATTAAATTATAAGTATTCTGAGTATACGGTTAAGGTTGATTGTCTGTAATGATATTTTATTGCCGTTGTTACCGATATATCGTAATTAACAATACTATGAAAATATTAGAAAATACTTGTTAACTCACACATAGTAACCTAGAAGTTGACTACGGACAAGATGTAATTTTTCTAATTTTTTTGGGGTTTTATAAAAAAAAAAAAATTAGTTACAGATTTTTGGTTGCAGCCAACAACCGCACACTTAATCGGTTTCCAGGTAGGTACATTATATAGCCAAATACCGCACACTTATATTGGTTTTTGGATACAGCAATTTTAAAAAGTGTGCGGTTTTGCGCTGTATTTTATTACAAGTGTGCGGTTTTTGGAGTCAACGAAATTTTTTAAAACATTTTGTATGTAATGCCTTATCTTAGCTTTACCGCCAATCTAGTTTTGAAGATATATGCATAATAACAGCAATATGTTAAATTTTTGGAAGTAAAACTAAAAAAATATTAGACCGCCAATGTTTCAAAGTTATCGCAACATATGGCTCAATTTATCTTCCTCAAAGCTTCGAATATCGCCGTTGTTTCATACTTACTACCAGATGATAAAAAAAAATTCTGGTAGAGGATCTAGTTTGAATATTCGACACTTTTCATAAATATAAACGTTGGTAGGTAATAACTAGCAATAAACAATTTATTTTCCCGGTACTATTGAAACAGGGAGTAAGCCACAGTCCTTTGACTTTTTGATAATATTGATAATAGTAGTTTACTCATGGGCGTTATCAATAAGAAGTATTATCATCTAAACGTTAACATTTTTGCTGACTAGTGACTCGCAATCATTATAAAAAGTGTCATTGATTACTAAAAAGCAATTGAAGAAAACTGAAAACAGAAAGTATCAGTACTATGAATATCATCAACAATTTTATCGGGTCCAGCCATTAAAAGTCCAGCCTGTAATGCATATTGACCGTGACACGAGGTCGTGAACGTGTTAAGCCAAAATCAAGTACCAACCTATTATTTTGTTGAAAGAAGTTTCGATATTTATTAATTGGTTGGGTCTATGATAGGAAATTATAATTGTTTTGTAAATATAAGTGCAAAAATATAAAATATACATTTCCTGATTTCTAACTTGTATAATCAAATATGTACAGGCATCGAGTAAGATGAATACTTGAGTAAAATCGCTTGAGTTGTCTCATACACATAGATAACATGTAAATAATAATATTTAAAAAAAAGCTTAGTCTTAGTATTAGAGGAATAGTATTTTTTAATACTCGAAATGTAGTCTAATACTACTACAATTTAGTAATGACATCTTATTTATGCAAGTGTGACTAACATTACTTATAAGTTATAGTCTTTACTGTGTTTAAAGGTTATTTAAAAAAACAAAATTTAAATTCTTTACTTTTTCTAGGCCTTAATTTTTCAGTGACTGTGTACACGTAATAGGAATTTATCCGAAAACATTCCAAGTATTAATAATTAATAGATAACGCTTTCAGGCTGTATTCAAAGCCTGCTGTTATTTGTCTAAATCCGTGTGCAAGTAGTACATGGTCAACTGATAACTGTGAACCCAATGGATAGGTACCTGTTAAAACAAAAAAAAAAATACGTAGATATTATAGATAATAACATAATAAAAAACCCAGTACAGTGGGTTCGGCGAAAAGTAGATCAGAGCATATTATTCGGTCGGGAGAGGTCACAGGTCTTTTTAAATTATGATATAACCACTATTAAATAAAACACTTTGAACTGTAATCGTATCAATTTTGATACTATACTATCGTTTTATAAAAAATATAATCATGCTATTTTCATATTATTTGGCGATTTTAATTAATTTTATTAAATTATTAATTACTCTTATTTCGTTGATAAATTAGCTTTTTAAAAATTGTCTCAATTAAATTATATTAAAAATAGTAAAAACACTATTCCGGATTACGTCGCATTGTAAAGGCAATTTTCCCTAAAACTTAACATTAAACCAACATATTTAAACATAATATATATTACCATAGGAAAAAAGGATCAATTTTGATAAAACATCTTTTTTCAATTATTATAACGCATGTAGGGTCTTTATTTTACAAAAAAATATGCTTCTACTTGGGACAGAACTTGTCTAAAAATACTCCGATTTAAGTTTAAATAAAAAATTTACTGTGGGTTTTTCTCAATTTGAAGAGGAGGGGGCGAACTTTTCTATTTCTAACCCCCTGAAGTATCAATTGCATACGATTTAGTCGCTATTCGAGTAAATCGTTTCACGGGAAAAAATGTACCGTGACACCAAACAAAACACATCATTGAAAAACGCATCAAAGCTAAAAACTGTATACATAAAGATGATAAGTTTGACGTTTTATAAAAAAAAAAAAAAAACACAAATCATATTAGGAATATTTATAGTGCATTACGAAAAACAAAATTACAAGGTAAATCTTTGACAACACTCAAATTATTAATAAGTATTGTTTATTGTTATTGACCGTGTAAAGTTATTGCTTAATTATTTTTGTATTCGCGTTACACAACAAGCTGTTGTATTTCGCTAATCGTCCATCACTTTATAATAATCGTCAGGTGAGGGATCAAAGATTACAGTGATACACATAATATAATTTTATTATGTTTGCCGTTATAAAAACAGGTGCTAGGTGCAATCTTTGCATTGCTGTCTGTTCTTCAACTGTTTAAGTTTCGAGTGTTCGATTTTAAACGTCTGTAATATTATAATATCTACTTATTGTCAATACACAGAAAATGGTTTCCACCAGAACATCAGTTGTGGCAGTTTCCATAATGGTCGTGTTAATCGCACAGGTGAGTACCGATTGTTTTAAAATTTTCTAAATAAATTATAGTAGGTAACTGGCAAGTTAAATTCGTGTTTATTAACTGTAACCTTTTTACATTGTAAGCCCTTATTTCCTTTTCACCCTAACAGACCTACGGCGAAATAACCGACCTCGAATGGGCAAAACCCATCCAAGACACTGTCAAAAATCTTACATCAGTATTGAGCAGCAGCAACAACAGCGAAATCATAGAATCAGCCAAAAGCAAATTGCTCGGGTTTGTCGGAAAATTCAAAGAGAACGCTGAAGAGTTCGGCTTGAACGTAATGTTTTCTCTTAAATTATCATACTTTTAATTTTACTTGAAAAACAAACGATAATTTGCAAAAAATGGGGAATTCTAATCTCGGCCGAAATTAATTTCATAGTATTATTCTGTAACCAATTAGCCATCACATCTAGCGTAATAACTATAAGGTTTATATTTGATATTTATTTAAAAAATTGTAACTAATTTAAATCCAAAGGTAATTAATTAGATTTTGTATTCAAATATGTCAAAATAAATGATGTCTGCCAAAATCAAATTCCATAAAACAACATTTTTACTAAAATTAATCGTCTGCCTAAAATATGTTATAATATTGATAATCGTATAAAAAAAAAAATGCTCAATTCCTTTAAATCCACTGGAGTATGTTCTTAGATTTGTTGCAAAGCGTAGTCAAAAATAAAATACTTTATTTTTAAAGAAAAAAAATATTCTATAATGATTTCTAAAGCTTATAGTTTCTAATTTTGTTAAATAAATTTAAATTAAATATTCAAGTTAAATTTTATTACTTATCTATTTTTCTTGAACTTTTAAAATAAAAGTATATATTTTTTTAAATTCATCTATGTTTATTTAATACAATATGACATACTAATCGGTTCAAGCATCGAGTACAACGTTTACGTACAAAAATTGTCATGAAATAATAGTCTGTAAAACTTATATTTTAATTTAAAAATCTTGTATTTCCTATTATCTATAAAAATAAATGATTGCTGTTAGTTTTTTGCTTTCCCAAGACTTTATTATTGGAAGGTGCTAGTTTTTACAATAAATTAAACTCAATTGCAATACTGAAGTGTTATTTTTTTATAATATTATTATTTCACAATGCTCAACAGATCCAAAACCACACTGACGCTACAGAAGCGCTAAAAGAGGCTGTAAAGAATTTCAAAACCAAAGTTGAGTCTTACACCGTGCCAGTCATCGAGTCGAACGCAAATAAAGTTTCCGAAGGGTATGAATATGGTGTCAAATGGATCGCGACACAAGCAACCGAGCTAAGTAAATTAGCTCAAGGTTCTTCTGCCGATCCCTATATTAGGACGTGGGCCAAAAAGGAAATCGATGATTTAGTCGCCAACATAAAATCCGTAGCTGTAAGTACATTTTTTCACTATACAACGACTAAACTTTTACATTTTTTAACCACTGCAATCATATAATTTATCTAATAATTATTTCAGGACAAAGTTAATGGAAAATCCGCTTAAAAATGATTGACCCAACGGAGATGTACGATGTTGTCCCTTTTTTGTCACTATAAACAACTTAAGTTAGGTAAATTTTATGTATTTGTTCATTTCAAAATATTGTGTTTTGTATGATTTGTTAATTTATTATAATTAAATAACTATGAATTATGTGCCATTAATTTACTGTACCAAGTTATATTTTATTATACTTTGATGTAGACCTAAAAAAGAAACTAATATCGTTTATAATTAATATTAAGGTAAATAATAAGGTGAGTTACGCACTTAGGTATCGGATGTATGCGACGGAGGTAATTATTTCGTTTGTTTTAATACTAAAATTATTGAGGAAAAGAATCACATATTATGTAACTTCAAACGAAAAAACAATATTTTTTTGTTTTGAATAGTTTTTTTTGTAACAATATCATTTAGTTCAAATGTTACAACCTTGTATCATATTATTGAATAGATAATAACAATTATTAGGTCCAGTGAGTTATTTCGATCCAACATAAATTGTGCTAATTAAAGTTATCTATCAGGTTATTCGACTAATACCTATTAGAAACGTTAAAAACAATGACGCATAAAACGCTATGTCGAATGTTCATGTGCTTAGGATAATGATAATAATATTACATATAGGAAACACGAAAATCAGCATTTTATATTAATATTTATATACATAATCAATTCAATCCAAAAAGAGGTAGTGGGAACGACAAATTTTTCGGCGTTTGGGCGATAAAAAAAAAGTTTCTTTTTATCAAAATGTTCTAAACTTTGATCAACATTTTCGGAATTGTTTTCAATTTCATCAGAATTCCGCCTACTGACATTATCATCATTGCTAGATTCTGTTTCAAGTAATTAGAAACCAAATAAATTACTTTAACCATATTTACTAGTGTTAGATCGCGCAATTATCGGAGTATTTTTTTTAGTAAACAAGTAGAAATACTTATACAAGCATACCAAGGTTTTTTTAATCATTACTTGACATTCAAAATTTTAATACTAAAGCTTTTTTTTCTCTACGATACTGAGTAAGAGATTTTTTTTCTTACCTCTTGTTCCTCACAGGTTATAAGGTTGTAAGCAATATCAATAAACGCATCAGTCCGATTAATTTTATTTTTATAATTGGAAGATTTTGTGTCAAAAAGTTTTTTGATAGCAACTTTTAAAACTTAAATGGTAATGTATATATTTTATTAACTTTTCAAATTGAGAATAATGTACTAAATATTTTGACTGGTCGATAACCAGTTTCGGGTAACTATTTTTAAAGTTAAAAGAGTTTGGTTAAGTGCGGTTGGGAAATGCGCGCAGATAAAAATAATATTACACTCCTGCCCTTAACTTGAAACTTCAATAACTTCATTACTCCCTATGAGATATTGAGTGGTTCATAATAAAAAAAATCATTATGTATATTATAATACAAACATTAACAATAAACAATAAAACATTTTTTTTTTATATTTTAGATGTTTATTAAACGTTTGTTAGGTGTGCACACAGCTTTAGTATTTTTTTAACAAAACTTGTTATAATGCAAACGTGTTTATAGTTTTTGGTTAACATGGCATTCCTACTGATATGTAATATGTTTTATTCTTATAACGGAGTTCATTAGTCAGTTTTATACCAAAACGGATCTCAAAAAATGCATTTTTTGAGAAACTGAACACCTTTAACGTAAAAGTACATCTATACACAAACTAAAAAACAGGACTGACATCAATTTTTACACGGACGATACATTATAAGAATATATATTTTTCACATGAAAGTACATAGCTTGCATTAAATCACAATAACAACTAATATTTCTAAGGATGGAGGTTATGTTTAATAAAATTAATGATTTATATTATTATACTATGGTTAATGATATAGCAAAAGTATACAAACTGCTGCCAAATCATTGGCAAATAATTTCCTCAAAGGCTATTCTACTTATACTAGAAATTAAATCACGATAAAGCCAAACGATATGAGTATCTAAAATATAATATAGTATCAGAATTAGGAAAATTACTTTTAAAAAGTAATGCATTCAAATTTATAAAAAAAAAAATGAAAAGCATTCAGTGTATTTAAAAAAAAAAATCATGTTTGATATTTACTTTTAAACTAAAAACCTATTAAAATGTTTTATTACTAAATAAATATACAAAAACAGTAGCTGTAGATAAACCCTATACATTCATTTTGTAATAATATACCTTCATATAGATTAAAGATAGGCCCAAAGATGAAGCAAAAACATTGAAGCCACTCAAATTTTGCCTAAGACAAGGATTAAAAATAATTTTTGTTTTTAATATAAAACAACTTTTATTTTTGGAATTTTATTCCCAATAATCAGCCCTAAAAATAATTGTACCTAATACATTCATGATCGTATTCCTCTTAAAATTAATTAAATTCAATCAGTGCATTCTTTCCAAACAATGTATATTATATCATGATGATTGTAACTAGATATTTTTTCTAGAATTTTGTTCGTATTCTATATAAAATAAAAAGTGACAAATAAAACGATTAGTTAAAATGTTATGTAGATTGACATAAGATCTTTAGGATTTGTAATATTTTTTGGTTTGTCCATCTTAAGAGGATTAAACCTATTTAAACTTTAAAGTCACGTTTCTGCAACAGACAATAAAAAAAATATATATATATAATATAACTAATAAAGTATAACGCCCTAGATTATATTATTTTGGTATCGTTTTCAAAAAACCTTAATAGCCACACAAACGCCAAACCGGCCAAACTCTTATTATTATTTCTGTTTGAATTGTAATACTATGATTATTCTAATGCGGTTCGGTTATGGTACATACAATCGACGTTTAGACCGTTACGCAGTTCATACAATTATTTGTCAAACCCATTTACGGCAAGGTACAATTAATTCCTCATGAGAGTCCTATTTAAGTTATATACATTTTTGAAAACTATTATTTTAGATCGTAATAATTTTGAAAGTTTATAAATATTATAATATATAATTTAAATTTAGTCAAAATTCAAAACTTCTGAAAAATTAAACAATTTCCCATTCATAAAATACACTTGAAAAATTGTAATACTGTACAAACTATACTATACGCGGGGAAAAAAGATCAATGTCAATTTTTTTTCATTCCGTGAAAATCAGTTTTTTAATTGCAAAACGTAATACATTTTGCCTGTATACCTAAACTTCCGGCGGTCGTTACTCTCGACTAATCTGTATTTTCCCTGGTTCGAGTGCATAAAAGATACAATACGTCAATACAAATAATTTGATACCAAAATCTCATTTTCAAAAAAAAATGACATTGATCTTCTTTCCACGCAGCTCTTCGTATATTTTCTTAAACTTACCTACGTAACACAAAATGAAATTCATGAAAAGAATAATTGTGATATACTATGTAAATACATTAAAAAATCGAAATTTTCTTGATCCAATATTAAAAAAATATAGGATTACTTTAAAATTTATAATTTTAAAAATGTCTTAACACGGTTTAGCTTCGGTGCGGAGCTGAGAAGGTATTGTTTTTATAATGATGTGTTTTTTTAATTTTTTTTTTTTTGTGTCTGAACCCACGATATCTTGTAAACCGCTGAACCGATTTCTTCGTGTAGCAATTCTATAGATCAGAAATCAAACCTGGAAGGTACTTTAGAGGGCTAACAATTAAAAAAAGTCAACCCTTCCCTATCAAAATCGAGGAAAACACCCAAAAAATGTACGAATTTTTCAACTTAAAACTACGATTCTCGAAAAGTCGAAAAAGTTCCAAATTTATATGAATTGTTTTTTAAACATAGTACTATTGATAAACATTAACAAATCAAAAAAATATCATAAACCTTTTCCCCTAGAAGGGATAGAATTTTCACAAAAATCTGTAGTGAAACTTTTTTTTTATTAAGAAGAAAACACCAAAAAGTAGGGTAAATTTACACTTTGGCCGTAGTCAGTTTTTAGGTTGCTATGTATGAGTGAATCAACAGCTAATGAGAATATTTTCATTGTATTGTTAATTACGATATATGGGTAACTATGGCAGTACATTTTTATAGACATACGATCAATCATTATCGTATCCACCCTGCACACCAGTCACCACTATGCCCCGGCTCCACTGTACTGGCTTTTTTTACTATTAAGATATATTATATTATATTTATAACTTTTTAAAATAAATTCGTGCTTCAATATTTCTATTTAGGAAAATAATTCATATTTTATCTGATACAGTGTAGCAATAACATAAGCATATTTGCTATACAATTCCTCTCAATGAACTGTGGACATTTTTGTAACTGATTGTACTTATATAAAGGGTGATTTTTTTTATCACGAGTCACTCAATATCTAATAGGGTTTAATAAGAAATTACATTTTTTTTTCATATTGTTTTTTACAATGTGATCTCAACTTTTCACAATTTCTTTTCTTTTTACCCCCTCTCAACTTAGCTTTGGGTTCGTACAAACAAGTTTCAAAACTTAAAAGCACAAAATGAGAACATCTTGGATTACGAGAAGTTTCCAGCAGGTTACCAAAACATAATTTTTATACGTGCAACAATTTTTTTTATATTAATCTATGCACTTGTCACACTCATAAATTATGGAAGCAGGATGTCGATTGTAGAATATTTTTGCTACTTTATGGGTTCAGATAAAAAAAACTATAAGAAGTAGTTAAGTGCGTTTAACTTGGAATATATGGATATGTTTAGACAACAACTTTTATAGTTTGTACATCATTTTTTGAATAGAACATTAAAGTGGTGTAAAAAGTTTTGCACTGCAAATAAAATGAATATTTAACCATTATTTACTACAACACTGTATCTCAAGAGCTGACTGTGGTCAGCACTATAATATAAAAGTTGTTATTGATTAAATCACCCCAGCTATCCTGATGTCACTCTCTATTCAGTCTATCCATCTATTCTTCTGTGTACTTCTTCCTAATAATGAATCAAATAATTCGAAAAATTATTTTATTGCATATTATAGTTTGATACTTTTTTTAAGAAAATTAAATTTTTTATATAATAAGTTAAATAATATATCAAATTAGTATAATACAATAATATTATTGTCAGCAGACATAGCGACTAAAACCATCCCACATCCAACAATCACTGACATACCGGCTAAAGACATAAATAAATCTATTTGGAATAAAATAAATACGACATGGCAAAGCTACTGGGATTCCGTTCCGCCTTCCAACAAATTAAAAAAAATCAAAAGATGCACTAAAAAGTGGCATCATCTTCACAATTTAAACAGACGACAAGAAGTCACTCTAACCCGAGTGAGAATCGGACATTCCTTTTTGACACATTCTTTCTTAATCAGCAAAGATCCACCACCCATATGTAATAAATGCCAAGAAGACCTAACCATCCAACACATCATCCTAGACTGCCCAGACTTACAAAACATCCGAAGTACTCTATCAATACCCAACAACTTAGAAGAAGCTCTCCATGAAGACAACACCATAAAAATTTTAAATTTCCTTACAAAAATTAACATTGTAAACAATCTCTAACCAACACTTTTGTATTTCATTACTCTTATTTAAAAAAAATATTGTAACCTTTGATATTTAATTATTAATGTAACTTACACAAAACATGTACACAAGGCTAATAACCTCAGATGTTGAAGCCTCTTAAAATAAAAAAAAATAATATTATTATTTTTAAGTATAATAATAATATTAAACTAAACGGTTATGAATATGTCTAAAATGTATGTTATTACTTCTCTAAATTATTATTATCTAAGAAGTTTAGTTTTTGTGTGTACAAACCTTCAGTTTTTAGTTAACCAAGTGTGCAGTACAATGGTGCCAACACTCAGGCCCGACTCAAACAGGCGACATAGGCACACACCTAAGGCGGCATTTTAAATAATTCCCAAATGTCACTAGATCGTTTAGTGGACCTTGCAATGATTTCAATCGAGAAGAAACTGAGAATTACTTTGGACCTGCATGAAGTTACATCTGATTTTACATACGCAATAGCACTAAAAGTTAATTTTTAATATTTTTTTTCTTTGTTGTTTTGTTTTTATTGCAACTATTATAATTGTGTTTTTACGTATGAAGTCTACTAGTAGTTAATATAAAGTACAGACACTAAACATCTAACCAATTGCTCACTATTTATCAAAAAATATAATGGACACAGAATTTGTTTATTATTTTTTTTTTTGTATAAACAAGTAATGGATGTAAAAAATATTTCGCTTGTAAACAATTAGGGGGCGAAAAACTTGAGTTTGTCTAGGTGTGTTCAAACGTTTGAGCTGAGCCTGCCCACACTTAATTCACACTATTATAATATTTATTACGAAACTAGCGACGAGGAAAATAAAATATTAGCTTTAAATCTAAAACTCAACGATTACCTGATGGTTCCAGTTTGTTGACGATTAAATCTTGTCTAGCCTGCATCAAAGCCTGCACCAGGTCGTTTCTCACGATATTGTTTTTTGTTCGGTAGTCCATCGTTTGGTTAAACGAAGATTTGAAAAAGTCTGACGCCGCTGGAGGAAAGTCGCTAATTTTCAACATTTTCCTAAGTGACGGTGAAATATACGTGAGTATATCTCCAATGACAAATCTGTATGTCGACGCGAACACGGCATGTCCGGCTTTCCGGAAAGGTGAGTCTTTATCAACGATGGCGTTCAACTGCAGACCGAAAGCGCAAGTACCGATTACGACCGTGGAATAGTCGCCCATGATGTCGCGCACTTCTAACACGTCCGATTGAATTAAGTTCATTGCCAAATTTTTCATCAATTGGTCAATACATTCTTTTATCTGATCATGCATGTTTTTCAGCTGGGAAGATGTGAAAATTGGGCTTAATTTGCTTCTCATGATTTTCCATTTCTGTTCTTTCGTCGCGAACACATGGTTTGACAGAGGAGTAGCATCGATGTCCACAGCCATACCGCGGTCGGTGAAATGCGAGAAATCCTTGATGAGTACCTTAGTTATGAGATCCGGAACGCGAAGCATCAACGTTGGCCTTTTCATCTTGTAAATGCCCCACTTGTACTTGTGTCCGAAAGCACAGTTTTATTTTAGCTACCTGAAATTACGTAGCCTATAAGAGCACATATTATAATTTCTATACAGGGTGATTCTTTTGTCATGGGTCACTCGATACCTCATAGGATTTATAGGATTTATTACAATTTTTTATTTTCTTGTAGTTTTTATATAATGTGATCTCAATTTGTTTTTACCCACTTTCCTACTTAGCCTTTTCAATAGCAACTTTTGAAACTTAAATAGTAACGCATACATTTCATTAGCTTATTAAACTGAGAATAATGTACTAAACGTTTTGACTGGTCGATAACCAGTTTTGGATAACCATTTTTAAAGTTATTGAAATTTAGGGTAGGAGGAAAGGTGAAGTGTAGTATTATTTTTATCTGCGCGCACTTTCCAACCGCACTTACCCTGCCTATTTAGGATAAATTTGGAACTCTATAACTAAGTATATAGTTATAGTTATAAACCAGTCAAATATTTTAGTACATTATTCCCAATTAAAAAAAATTAGCTAATGAAATATATGCGTTATTATTTAAGTTTCAAAAGTTTATATCGATAAAACTAAGTTGGGAGGGGGGGTAAAAACAAAAAAAATTGAGATTACATTATATAAAAACAATATGAAAAAAAAAATTGTAATTTCTTATTAAACCCTATATGTTAGAGATATTAAGTGGCTCATGATAAAAGGATCACCCTGTATTGTCATAGCCTAAAATAACACAATCTGTGGTTATCAGTAAACTATTTTCCTTTTAGCAGAGCCGTACATAATGAGAATAATAATATACTAAATGTTATACTGTATAACATTATACAGTATAACAAACATCAATATCTTGTGTTTACATCACAAGTTATGTAAACAAACATCGTAAATACTAAATATTATACTTGGAAGCATTACAGCCAATAAGATTTCCCGCCCACGTTATTTACACGATATTATATTGAACAATCAATAAATATCATGTATACAAATTAATAACAAATACGTAATTAATAATAATTATACATTTATATAAGTAAAACGAAACTACAAAAAATCGTTTTCTCACCGTTTACCGTTATCATGATAACGCAGCGTCCGCTGCTGACTACCGAGTGCTGTATTAGATTCCACCAGGCAGAAAGATATAGTGCACTAAAAAGTACTGGAAGATAAACGAAAAAAGATCAAAATTCAAACTATCACTTTATGTATGGGCGATTGTACCTTGTGATATACTATTGTCCTATCATATATATTATATATCGTCATTGTACATAGTATCAACTAATGCGTTTGTTTTTATTTCATTTTAAAGGTGTTACCTTACTTTCTTTAGTGAAGTATTTCTTATATGAAGTTTAAATGGTAAATTATCATTTATCCTCTATACGCTTATGATATGCGTATATCATATGTGTCTCTCTTTCAGCTACAAAATGGATATCTCAGTTTATTTTTCGTATTTTTAGAATTTTATTACTAAAATAAACTTTTATAGTCCTAGCATTATGTTTCGGTGCCAACTTGACCCACATTACATTTTTCATTTCACAAATGGGACACTGCAATCAGCTTCTAAGAACTTTAATGTCACCTTTAACTTTTTGAAAATTAAATATATCAAACTTAATATTCCAAGGATGCTTCATCGGAAATATTTATACGAGACCTAACCGATATTTCCTCGTATTTCTTCAATCGTACATCGTGCAAGTATACCATTGTTTCCTTGTATTGAATTATTGAATAATAAGTTCATATGAAACCTTTACAGCAAAGTGACATATAATTAAATATAATATAGAACATTTCAAATGTATACGTATATTTATTTCGTGCAGTCGTACCCTTGAGTGATACCTGTGTCATTTCAGGTTTCAGTTGTTCTTAAGCAACGGTTCACAAGCAACGTTCTCTTAATGTGGACTTTTATGGCTATCTAACAACTTATAATTCTCAAAAACGTATATATCAACATTTAAAGACATTATAAGCACATCTCTAAACAGGTTCGTTGACATAAATAAGACAATTTCGGTTTTTTTTACACCTAGTTTCCCACGACGAATTAATATTTACAATATCTTCTATAAAATTGATATTTTCGATTTCTAAATTTTTCCCATAAATCTTTAGATTATAGACTACAAGTACAAATAAAAATACAAAATGAATAATATCTGTGTTGTGTATCTCTATTCATATAATTAGAGCGGTGCCACAACATTTTTCTTGTATGTTTATATCATGTTTCAGACGATGCACTCCATCATAAATACATGCTACGATAATTGTTTATTATAATGAGTATTTATAAATTGAAAAAATGTTTGGTTTCAGGTGATCGATAAAATAACAGTATGAGTGATTTGAATGATGTTGACAAAAGGCTAGATATCAATAGTTTCCTCTTAAAAGTATTCCATATGATATTGAGAAAAAAAATAATATTTTTTGTATTATTCTTGTACACAGTCTAATATTAGTGTATAGTGTTTTTGGACTTCTATATAGTATCTACTATGGTGACATTGATAGTGGGAGAGTTGGTAAAATAGTAGTGATTTACACTAATTATTTCCTTGCTATATTCAAATGTATAACGTTATTCCGAAATGCTAACCGAATATTAAAGTTATTGAACGTAACAGGTATTGATTTTTTGGTTTGTGGTCTATGTCATTTCAAAGTGGACAGTTTTTTAAAGTTAAATAAAATGTTTTGGAATTCTTACCTGTATAGTTTGGGACTAGCCTACATAACTTAGATAGGTGTTCCTATACTATCTAACTTTTTAATGTCTACTGAAGATTTAACTTACTCTACAAGTATATTTATAACATATTTCTACTATCCCCTTCTTGAAAATTCGTACAAGAAATACTTTGGCCTTCTTTATATAAATTAAGTAGTGTTCAGTATTTTTATCGGATACTTCGCTATTCAATTTGATTGGCTATATTTCTCATTATGCGGAGCAATAGCCACACAATACGAAACTATAACATTAGCTTTAGAGACGTTGGGACATGACAGAGACACAAAAAGTAAGTAAATGGATTTGTATTGTAATGAAAAATAAAATATGTTCATGTGTAATTGTATATAATTAACTCATACTATATTTTTATTTTTAACCCTTGTTTCTTCAATAGTTTGATCAACAGATTAGGTGAAATACTTGGTTTATGATATAAACATGAAAAAGTGGTTCATAATATTATATGAATTGTATTATTAAAAATTTAAAGCATACAAATTGAAAGCTAACAATTACAATAGAAAACTTAATATTTGTGACGAGATGTAAATTACTGTTGATAGAGTTTTAGTTAATCCAGACTATATATCTGTAACAACTGTGAATAAGTCGATTGTGTTAAATTATTACAATTAATTCTGTTTTACCTATGTTGGCATACAATTATTCATGATATATATGTATGACTTATATGTTTGACTTTTTAAACAAAAAAGTAATTAAAAAATAATCTTAAAATATCGCATAAATAAAATTAATTGTAAGATTATTTGGATATAGAGAGACGGTATAAATTTTGGACTGTACAATTGTGATTGGACGTCAATGGATATTCGTTTTAAAAAGTTGTTGCTTTTAGCAATGCGAGTGAACAGTGCAACTTCGTTGGAAATTAAAGCGACGCCAAATAAACTTATAAACTTGGAGTTTTTTTTAAGTGTAAGGTTATTGTTTAATCGACCGCCCGGATATCTATAGACGGGTTGGGTCGGATTATAGCGTGGTTCAATTTTCAAAGGATTCTTAAGATAAAGGGGGATAAAGTGGACTGTATGGTATGGATAAAAGATGGTACTAAACAATAAATAGATATGTAGAAATTAAATGCAATAAAAGTGTATGTATTAACAAATGATAATATTAATGTAAAGCTATTAAATAATGGGGACAGGGGGGAGAATACTTATAATCTAATGCCACCCGGCGCAACAATATAGAACAACAAATATATTATAATAGATGGTACTTATCGACCATTGATTATTTGCACGGGTTGACGTTGATTCGATGATGACAACATACATGAATCTTCCGACACACACACCACCGGTCGGCTGGGCGAGCTAATTATGCACCAGGGTGCATGCGAATCGCATGGGCGATTTTATTATAATGCGTACGGAGGTACGAGCGAATCGCTAGGGCGATTTCAACAAAACACGACTATGTGTAGTCCGGGCGAATCGCTAGGGCGATTAACTATAATGCGTACAAGGGCACGCGCGAATCGTTAGGACGATTAACAACACAAATGATTTTTTGCTAATTAGCGACCATGAGGCGAAGGCTAATATGGCGGCGATGGACATCGGCGCTCGCGTCGGGAACCAAAACGTTCGATGCGCACACCGGACAGAAGAACGAGCGAGAGTGTATCGAAAAGCGTTATATTAACTCTATCCCGTAAACCGGTGGTGGCGGCACAGACAGGGTAGCCAATTCACCACATACGTGTGTGTGTGTAAGCGGATCCAACATACTCCCAGCGTTGAAAGCTGAAGGCTTTCAAAATCCCACGTTCTTCACGTGATCAATAGGTGATATTAAATTAGCTTTTGACTTAAAATTATTACTTAAAATTATTACAATACTTTTTTTTAATGTACCAGGAAAGTTTTAGGAAAGGATTAAGAAGAGGGCAACTTGACGAGTTTTACTACTGGCCGTTTAATAACTCCATTTTGCGTTTTTACAGTTACGGTACGGACGATCGAATCGGAACCGGGATGGACCTCAATTACGCGCCCGAGATGCCAATCGGTAGGCGAACGGTTTGGAGCTTCAACGATTACGAGGTCGTTAATTGATAAGTTTGGCGTTGTACTGTACCATTTGAGACGGCCTTGTAATGTACTCAAGTACTCCTTTGTCCAGCGTACCCAAAACGATTGATGTAGCTGTTTTAAGAGCTCCCAGCGGTGAAGACGGTTGGTTTTGACATTTGTAAAATCCTTCTCCGGTAAGGCCATTATTGGTTGGCCGACTAAAAAATGACCCGGTGTTAGGGCACATAGATCATGCGGATCGGACGATAAGGACGATAATGGTCTCGAGTTAAGAATGCCTTCGATGCGTGTAACGAGAGTATGCAATTCTTCAAACGTCAAAACTTGTTGACCAATAACATGTTTTAAGTGATGTTTTGTACTTTTTATAGCGCTTTCCCATAAGCCACCCATATGCGGCGCGGCAGGTGGGTTAAAATGCCATTGACACGGTACCCGAGTCATAACAGCCGATTGCGTATTAATGTCATTAAAAAGTTCTTTTAATTGACGCGCTGCTCCGATATAATTACTGCCACAATCTGAATATATGTTACTGGGTATACCCCGGCGGGCGACGAAGCGGTCTAACGCGGCTAGAAAAGCATCCGTTGATAAGTCAGACACGATTTCTAAGTGGATGGCTTTCACGGCCATACAAATAAATAAAGCCAAATAACATTTTTGTGTACGGGCATTGCGACGGCGACTTTCTTTGATTATAAAGGGACCTCCATAATCCATGCCGACGTTCATGAACACTCGGGTGGATTGAACGCGCGCTAGGGGCAGGTTGCCCATCAACGGATTAGGGTGTTTGGCCTTATGACGTATACATGGGACACACGTATAAATAAAATGTCTTACCGCATCGCGACCGGAAAGTATCCAAAACTTACGTCGCATCATTGATAAAACTAATTTTGGACCGGCATGTAAATATCCCTGATGGTAATGCTTGATTAGTAGTTCAGATAAGTGTGACGTTTTAGGTAGTAGAACGGGATGTTTTGCGTCTGCGTCAAGCGATGCGTAGCGAAGGCGGCCACCAACTCGTATAAGTCCGTCCGAATCAATGAATGGTGATAATTGGGCCAAAGATGCAGGTGTAACAACAAATCGACTTATTAATTGCCTTTTGAGATCATTAAAATATCTTTGTTGAGTCAACCGTACAGCTTGGTTTAAAATATAATGAAGTTCGGAAAATGACAGAGGGCCGGTCGGTGTAGGCTTAAAGCGGAAACGATATACATAGGCGAGCGTCCTTTGCATACGGGTTAGCGAAGAAAAACGGTGTATAATTTGATCGGCGGCGGTTTCATTGTCAGCGTTAATAAGTATTACGGCCCTTTGTTGATAATCTGGTAATTGTTCCGGCTTTAATAGGTCACACTTATGTCGCGGCCATTGTTCAGCAGGTAATCGTAAAAACGTCGGACCCTCTCGGTGAATGTCACACAAGACCATTTCATGGGGTAATAAACCACGCGATGCCGGGTCCGCCGGGTTATCGGTTGTATTGATATAAGACCATTTACAATCCGGTAATAATTGTTGTATTTTTGCGATTCTGTTCGTTACAAATACTTTAAATGATTTTTGGCTGACCGTTAACCACGACAACACTACCGTAGAGTCGGTCCACGCATAAATATTTGAAATATCAATGTCTAGACAGGTTTTTACGCGATTTAATGTAGTAGCGAGTAATAGAGCAGCACAGAGTTCGAGGCGCGGCACTGTAGTTTGACATTTAGTGGTTTTGATTGGTGCTACTTTGGTCTTACAGGTGACGAAATTCACCGTGGCATGACCGGAAATGTCTACCACCCGCAAATATACAACGGCCGCGTAGCCACGTAGCGAGGCATCGGAAAATCCTACTAATTCAATTTTCGAATACACGCGCATGTCGATATGTCGAGGCAACATTATTTTATCGATTGACGGCAACTCTTTTACAAATTGACCCCATAACTTATCTAAGTCCTCTGGTAAATTGCTGTCCCATTCAAGACTCGCTTGCCATAACCTTTGCATAAAGGCCTTTGCCCATAAGAGTATAGGTCCAAGCGTGCCTATAGGGTCGAAAAGTCTGGCGATTGTAGAGAGTACCTTGCGTTTTGTGAAAGGACGATCAGATTTAATATTAGTATGATAGGCAAACATATCCGAAGTAGGGTCCCAATGCATACCTAACACTTTTACGGCCGAATCATTTTTTGGGTCTAAAAACAACAGCGTTGAGTGATCAGCACAGTCTACTTGTCGAAGTGCTTGAGGCGAATTACTCGTCCACTTTTTGAGAGAGCAGCCACACGTCTTTAAAAGTCCTATCAAGTCGCTTTGAATTATTAACAATTCCTCAACGGTGTCAGCGCCGGCTACAATATCGTCGACGTAAGTGGATTTGGTCAATACACCCTTAGCAGCAGGAAAATCGGACCCATTTTGAGCATCCAACTCGTTTAAGCATTTAATGGCGAGGTATGGAGCGGACGTAACTCCGTACGTAACTGTACATAGCTCATATTCGACAATCTCGGACTCAACTGAGTCCCGCCATAAAATATACTGATACCGGCGGTCTGAGTCACGCACTAGTACCTGGCGATACATTTTTGTGATATCGGCGGTCAACATATAGCGCTTAAGCCTACACTTTTGGAGAATGTCAAAAATATCGTTTTGGAGTTTAGGACCCGCTAATAATACGTCGTTCAGTGAAAACCCGGTTGATGTGGCGGCACTCGCATCAAACACCACACGTAATTTATCAATATTTTCTCCATCGCGTTTCACTACGGCGTGATGCGGTATGTAATAATAACCAGACTGAGTAGCCGGTCTCATATGACCAAGGGCGGCGTACTCGGCCATAAAAGCACGATATTCGGCGTACAACGCAGGGTCTTTAATCAAACGCATTTCTAAATTATAAAATCGCTTTAGAGCTACCGCGCGTGAATTACCGAGGCCGTGATACGGCGGCACTGTGTCAAATGGCTGGTTGACACTATTAGGAAGACAAACGGAATCGCGAAATGGAAGTGCTACACAAAACCGACCATCATTTGCTCGCGTAGTTGTTTTTGAAAACCACTCTTCACATCGTTGTTCTTCCGTTATCGACTCAATTGGTGTTGCGGCTTCCTCTATAGCCCAAAAGGAGCGCATAAGGTCATCTAATTTTACTGATGCCACTGATAAAGAATGAACAGGTGAGGTACTTTGTTCTTGCAATGAACCGCATACTATCCAGCCAAAATGTGTGTTTATCGCGGACGGCAAACCGTTGTGGTGTATGATGCCGCCACGAGGCCGCATTACGTGTGGGAATAAGTCACCGCCTATTAACATGTCTATCGGCGCGGGTGTATCGAATGTGGGATCAGCTAACAATAGATGTTTATAGCACTCGCGGACGGCGGACGGCAACGGTGATGTAGGCATGGTCGTTGTTATTTGCTGTAGTATTATGACATCGTTGCAACAAAAGGACGGTTCCAATTGTTGTCGCGGTAAAAGATAACAACTCGTTTCTCCATTTACTTCAGTGACAGGGTTTTTTCCAAGGCCCCTAATACTACGTAAGCATTTGCGTCTGGTGAGACCAAGCCGAGATGCACAACGAGTGGTTATTGCCGACACCTGCGAGCCACTATCTAACAAAATACGAATTGCCTGATAATTACCCCGACTATCACGTGCACGAATAACTGCGGTACCTAATACGACGGTATGATTTGCTTGCGATAAACCACAAAATTCTTGAACTTTAGGTTCTGAGGTATCTGGAGTTTCAGTACTTGATGGGTTAGAATGAAGTAGAGTATGATGGCGTTTTTGACATTTTGAGCATGATAATTTAGATTTGCAATCAGCGGCGCGATGCATGCTACTCAAACACGAAAAACAAAGACTTTCTTTGACAGCGGCCTCGCGTCGTTTTTCTATTGCGTATGATCGAAAAACACTACACCGATATACCGGATGGGAGTCTGAGCAAAATGGGCATTTTTTAAAAACTTTCGGTGATCCGGTGGTCCCGGTTAATACAGCTCTCGGTGGTGTATATTTTTTGTTAGAATTATTTTTATTAACGCTATTGTAGCCCTTAATGTTCTCTAAAATACGACAACGCTGGCGAACAAAGATAATTAAATCGTCTATGTTTGGGATATTAGATTGCGTCACCGTGGCTTCGAATAAACGGCGTGTTTCTGGGTCTAATACCTTAGCGGCCATATAAAATAATAAAAAACCCGATAAATCCTCCACACCGAGATTTTTTATGGCTGTTACATTATCATTAAACACATCAATAAAACCATTCAATGCGGATAATGACTCTGTAGCAATAGGTTTGAACGAAAATATTCTATCTAAATGTACCGATGCTAAGAGCCGTTGATTTTCATAACGCGTTATGAGAGCGCCCCACGCGTCGTCATAATTGGCGGCCGAGAGTGGGAAGGACTTTATTGTGTTTAACGCTGGACCCGATAAACATGATAATAATAGATGAAATCTGTCGATTTTATTAACATTTCTTGCGGAAACAAAAGACTCAAACCGTTCATAGAATGATCGCCATTTTTCGGGACTACCATCAAATTTAGGCAAATCAAAATTCGGTAAATATGTACTGTATTGCGGTTGAGGCGTTATAGGTGTCGATATGTTACTCGCGGAAGTGACTGGCGTTAAAACTGAATTGATTTTAAAAATAAGCGTCTCCATTACGTCAGTAACTGGAGAATCAATACATTCGAATTCTTCGATCAAATCTCGGTCAACCGAAGCTTCAATTACAGCATCTTGGTGTAATCGAAATTGCATAGCAAGGGAATCTAATTGTCGAGAACGAATTTCTAATTCAGGCGTTAGTGATGGGTCACTTTTCGCCCTTTCCGCGATCGCGTATATTTCTTTTATCGATTTTAACGCACGATCGCGTGATAACCGAGCGATAACAAGCGCCTTGTTGTTACCCGTGGTTTTTGCACCTTTTTTCGACATGATTACGTTTTAAGAAAATCCGGCCCGAAGGACCAAAATGTTTAATCGACCGCCCGGATATCTATAGACGGGTTGGGTCGGATTATAGCGTGGTTCAATTTTCAAAGGATTCTTAAGATAAAGGGGGATAAAGTGGACTGTATGGTATGGATAAAAGATGGTACTAAACAATAAATAGATATGTAGAAATTAAATGCAATAAAAGTGTATGTATTAACAAATGATAATATTAATGTAAAACTATTAAATAATGGGGACAGGGGGGAGAATACTTATAATCTAATGCCATCCGGCGCAACAATATAGAACAACAAATATATTATAATAGATGGTACTTATCGACCATTGATTATTTGCACGGGTTGACGTTGATTCGATGATGACAACATACATGAATCTTCCGACACACACACCACCGGTCGGCTGGGCGAGCTAATTATGCACCAGGGTGCATACGAATCGCATGGGCGATTTTATTATAATGCGTACGGAGGTACGAGCGAATCGCTAGGGCGATTTCAACAAAACACGACTATGTGTAGTCCGGGCGAATCGCTAGGGCGATTAACTATAATGCGTACAAGGGCACGCGCGAATCGTTAGGACGATTAACAACACAAATGATTTTTGCTAATTAGCGACCATGAGGCGAAGGCTAATATGGCGGCGATGGACATCGGCGCTCGCGTCGGGAACCAAAACGTTCGATGCGCACACCGGACAGAAGAACGAGCGAGAGTGTATCGAAAAGCGTTATATTAACTCTATCCCGTAAACCGGTGGTGGCGGCACAGACAGGGTAGCCAATTCACCACATACGTGTGTGTGTGTAAGCGGATCCAACAGTTATTGCATTACTTTCTTTAATATGATGCAAATTACGATTTTATAATGATAAATTCTAATGGTCATAAATACTATTACATTAATAATAACACTAAGTACACATAGCTGTATAACTTCGGCAAATTTACACAGGAAACAAAATCTATTATCAATTTACCTTACTTAACCGTATAGATTTAAATTTAGAAAAACGTTCTTACGGTTCTGTGCTGTTTTATAGAGTTTCGAATTTTTAATCGTATTAATACAATTTTAAGCTACATAATATACCATAATGTACCAATTTCGTACTGGTATACTATACCGCTGTAACATAAAAAAATACTAGAGACTGTTATGGTTAGCTAACAACTTTTAACTCTAAACGACGTACATATCAACATTTAAAGACATTATAAGCACATCTCTAAACAGGTTCGTTGGCATAAATAAGATAATTTCGGTTTTTTTTACACAACTAGTTTCCCATGACGATTTAATATTTACAATATGTTCTATAAAATTGATATTTTCGAATTCTAAAGTTTTCCCATAACTCTTTAGATTATAGACTACAAATACAAATGAAAATACAAAAATACAATGTACGATATCTGTGTTGTGTACCTATTCATATGATTTAAGCGGTTCCACAACATTTTTCTTCCATGTTGTTTTTATACAAGGAAATCTCAATTTCTTTTGTTTTTAGCCCTCTCCCCCAACTTAGTTTTTTTGATAGCAACTTTTGAAACTTAAATGGTGACGTATATATTTCCTTAACTTTTTAGATTTAGAATAATATACTAAACATTTTGACTGGTTGATAACCAGTTTTAGACAACCATTTTTAAAGTCATAAGAGTATAAAAGTTAGGATGGGAGGGAAGTGCGCTTGGGAAATGCGCGCAGATAAAAATAATACTATACTCTATTCAAAATAAAAAGCGACCTCGGTGGCTACCTTTTTACGTAGCTTTCCGATAGCCGCCGAGGTCGCTTCTTATTTTGAACCGAGTATAGTATTATTTTGATAATATTTTCAATTTGTAAGTCATATTAAAGTACAAAACTGTAACGGATTTAGATGACTTTCAAATGATAAAATATAAATACATCCCGAGTTAGGTTTTTTATCAGTTATCATGGTTACAATAAAAAAAGTTCATTATTTGGGGGGATATTTGTTAGGTAAGAGTAGTGCTAGAGGAAAAAATCAAATAAATCATATTTAGTGGTTGGGTAGTATGAGGGATCCTGTATTTTTATTTAAACCAGTAAAATAATATAGATACACTAATACGATCTGTGAGTGACATGAACGTGGAACGATGGAACGTGACCGATTTGTTGAACCAACAGAGAGCGCTAACTGTTTGAGTTATACAACGCTTTACCTTAAAATACCTAAGATTCATGGTCGTATTCAGGGGGGGGGGGTCCGGGTTCACCCCCTCCCGAAATTTCATCGAAAAATATTCGTATTAACTTTCCTTTATGTCTTTTTTCCCATTTTTTTTTTAGTTAGTATGCCTGAAAATAATGTAAAAAAAAAAATATTTCGATGCAAGTTTTCTTTTAACTTTAAAGCCTAAAATAGAATTCAATAATAATAAATACGTGATATTATCGTTATCGCCTGCTTAGGCATATGGACACCGGACACGCCAATGAATTTTAGTTTTTTTCGAATTTCGTTGGTGAACCTTATTGGAAGACGTCAATAATGACTGGGTAATGATGTTTACATTCATATATAGAATCGAAATATTATATATATATATATACAAAAATAATAGTCATTATCAACGTCGGCGACAACGACAGGACACCGTAATCGTTTACTGGAAAAATCTGTTATTTCAACTTGCTAAAATAGTCAAAACAAAAATTAAAAATGGTTTTATTATTTTTAAAATGATGTTTTAAAATCAACTCAGAAACGCCTGCCACTAGGGTTAAACTATTGTAGATTAGATTATTTTTTTTTTATATAAATATAATTTATACAGTAAGTAAATTCAGTAAGTTGATGTATTCATTTTTTTAATATTGATAAATATAAATACAAATTTATGTTGATGTTGTATTTTATTTACTTTAACGATATAGTCTAAGTAAATTGTTATATATTCGTTTATATATATATATATATATATATATGCTTAAAAAACTGATATGGTTCTATTTAACTAAAATCCTAAATATTATTTACTAGTTTTATCTTAAAATAAAATCCCCCTCAAAAATTAGTGCTGTATACGACCATGCTAAGACTCGTTTATTTACGAGGTGCATAGCGCCAGAAAACCTTGACACACACAAATTAAATTTAGTATTTTTACATTAAACATTTTAGGAAGTTTATTATTTTAAAACCAAACTGATCCAAACCTAAAAAATGTAACTACCATGGGTCAAAACTCCATTTTTTGCAATTGTCATTTGTCTTTTAAAAAATGTTCATCGACTTTTTCTTGATAGGTATATTGGATTTGTGGGTTACGCTTTTCTCGCGATATGTGCGTCAAATATTATTATACCTGAACCTATGATAAAAATATACATTTATATTATAGTTATTTAAAATGTATTGACATGACCTGCATTGAACTGTTAAATAAACAATGTTGTCGTTGCAATGTCTCTATGAACGAATTTATGATATTCTGCCGCATTAAAGTGATTCAATTCACTTACAAAATCAAGAACAAAATCCTACGTCTCTGTTTAAGGCTTCCAAGTAATCTTATATTCAAACATGCTTATTGGTATTTTACTCTTACGTCGCCTCCATTATTCTACATAATTTTCAAAACGGTGGCAACAAAAGTATAGAATTTCCAGTTTTATAATATACCATAAGTATGTACATGGTGTTGTATAAAACACAACAGCATAGTACAGTTGGTCAAATTCCCGATTTACAGTTGTTTGAAAACCTTTAAGTTTACCTTTTTGTTATTTGAAAAGGAATAATATTATAACCTTATTTTTAATTGATCGCGCTGTTATATTATATCATATACCATTTCGATCAAAGATTATTAAAAAATACATAGACGACTCTAATACTAAAAACATATGGGGCTGCGGTCAGAAATGGGGTAGAAAGAAAGCGTTATTTTTTTATAGGAATATATCTATGTCTCATTCTGGCATAGGGTGTATATTATTATACAAGTAAATACGCCAAAATAAACGAACGTATGGACCGACCCAGTGCAAATTTTTTTGAAAATTACACTGCATGTCTGTTACGATGAGAAAAATGTTCTCAAATTTGTTTCGATTATTTTGACCATGGTCGTAAAAAGTATGTTTAATTTTTTTATATTGACAGCTTTTTTTTATAGTTTCTTCGGTCATCAAAAAAAATTCTTAAAAATCAGTAACTTATGTAAAATAATCTCAGCATTCTAAAAAAAAAAAATTCGCGTACCTATCAGAAAGTCATTAAAATTTAATTTATAATCTAAAAAGTTGTTTTTTCACGTTACCCAAAATTTCAGAATTTTTTTCAGAAAGCTGAGAAAATTGTACATAAAATGTGTAAATTTCCTATTGGGAGTTCCATAAAAATGGTCAGATAAACAAAAACAGAAAAGAAAAGACGAAACAACAGAAAATTATCACGTTACAATATTATTAGTATTATGTGTATTGTGCATAACAGTCGTTAATAATATTATATGCTTGGTATTTTTATGGTACCCATTATTTCCTCCAGCCACTACATCAACAGATTACATTAAAGTCGATGAAAGTAAATTTTGGTTGTTAATGCAATTTTAACCGGCCACATCAATACACTGTGTTATTAGAATAATATATTGTAATCAATACAATCTGTCTTTGTATTAAGACAAACAAAAACACCATACCGTTTAGGAAATAGTAGCACTTGCATTATGATATCGTAAAATGTTGTACTATATAAAATTAAATGTTTATTTTTGATCCTTTCGGAACCAATAAATAATAATATATCAACTCGAATAATAATGACTTATTTAATTAAAACAACCTTAAGTGGTGTAAATGTTACATTTGAAAATTGATTTAGTAGTAAGTAGTCCAAATTTTATGGGTTTGAGGTGTTTGTAAGCTAAGACTATTGAATAGGATTATAAACCTTCGTAATTAGTAATTCGCTCACTCCTTCGATCGAGGAT